TGGTGTGGATCCCAGTGCAGCCCCAGCTCCCTGGTGTGGATCCCAGTGCAGCCCCAGCCCCCTGGTGTGGATCCCAGTGCAGCCCCAGCTCCCGGTTGTGGATCCCAAGGGTATCCCCAGCTCCTCACTGTGGATCCTGGGATGGGACCTGCACATCCAGGGGAGGGAGGAACATCCCAGGGCATCCCTGGCTCCAGGGAGGGGTTGTGCCAAGGACATCTGGAGACACGGGGGCACCTCAGGCCCTGAATCTCCCCTGGATCCCTTCTCCCCTCTGACCTGTTCCCCATTCCCAGCTGTGCCGGGCTGGGAAGCCCCCGGGGCTGCCTGGAGAGTGTCCCGGACTGGAGCGACTTCGGCGTGGAGGACGCGCACTCGGAGAGCCCGGAGGAGCCCTCGGGATCGGGGCAGGACACGCAGTGACAGCCCTGGGGACACCCCCTGCCTTCCCAGGACCTGCTCCCTCGCTGGGAGAGGGGGCACTGTGGGAGCAGGGGGGTGACTGGGCTGCCCTGGGAACACGGCTCATCCCGGGCTCTGTCCCTGCTGATCCCGGCTGTCCGGGTGTCCCAGGCAGGGTTTGCATCCCGGAGAAGGGATCTGGTGGGGGGTGGAACCTGTTGTTTGTTGTTCCCACGGCCTTTGCCCTCTGGCTGGAGCAGCAGCAGGGCTCAGTGGGGTGGCAGTGCCACCTCCCTGCTCCTGGCACATCCCAGGGCAGGGTGGGATCTGCTGCCCGATGGGAAAAGGGCTTTCCTTGGTGGCTCCAGGGCCAGCCACTCTCTCCAGTTTAGCCCCCTGTGTTCCCCTCCCTCTGCAGCTCCTGGGGAGGGCAGAGGGGGCTCAGCTGCACCAACCCAGAGCCCACACAGATCCCACCCCCACCCCCGGGGCCTCCTGGCACAGCTTTCCCTCCCTGCAGGTTGGTTTCTGCAGCTGGAAAAACGGGAGCTGAGCTTCCCCTCGGGCAGGGAATGAGTCAGGGGGGAGGAAAAGGGGAGGGGGCAGTTTGTCACCCCTGCCCTGGGAGGGGGTGTCCCTTCCAGGTGGGCTCCTGCCAGGCAGGAGGAGTTTGGATTTGCTGGGATAAGAAGGAGCTGCTCCTGCTGCCCCTGCCCGTGTGGTCCTGCCCCGTCTCCTCCCCCGGCCCAGCCCCGGGTCAGGCAGGGCTCGGACGTGCTCGGACTCGAAATAAAACTGAAGCAGGAGAAGCTGCCGGGTCCTGCTGGGTGGTGTGGGCGGGGGCCGGGCCGGGAGAGCTGCGGAGACAGGGATTTTGGGAAAACGGGGAGGGGAGGATGGCACCTTCCCCCCATCAGCAACACCAGCGCGGCTCCCCCTGCCCCGGGCACCGGGCGGGTCCCTGGGGTCACTCCCGGGGGGGGAAGGGATGAGGGTCTGCCCTGAGTTCTGGGGGTTTTTTGGATGCACCAGGGAGGGGGAGGGAGGGAGGGAGGGCTGGAAAGCCCTTGGAGGCGCATCCGAAATGTCAGGAGAAGTTCACGGCCAAGGCTGGCAGCTGCCGGGGCGCGGGAGCGCCGCTGCCATTGGCTGCCCCCCCCCCCTCATGCATATTCATCCATATTCATGAGCGTGCGGCTCCAAATGGCGCAGCTGTGAGCCCAGCTGTGCCCGCGGCCCCTCTCCGTGCCCACCGACCCTTCCCATGCCCACTGATCTTCTCCGCGCCCACCCACCCTTCCTGAACCCACCGACCCCTCCCCATGCCCACTGAACCCTCCCTATGCCCACCGACCCCTCCCGTGCCAACCAATCCTCCCCATGCCCACCGATCCCTCTCTGTGCCCACGGACCCTCCCCGTGCCCACCAACCCTCTCTGTGCTCACCAACCCCTCTCCTTGCCCACCGACCCCTCCCCATGCCCACCAATCCCTTCCTGTGCCCACAGACCGTCCCCATGGCCACCAACCCTCTCCATGCCAACCAACCCTCTCCATGCCCACCGACGCTTCCCATGCCCACCGACCCCTCTCTTCACCCACCGCCCCCTCCCCGTGCCCACCAACCCTTCCCATGCCCACTGACCCCGCTCCTCGCCTGGCACAGCCTCCCTCAGTCACGACCCCCTCAGCCCAAGCCGTGCCCTGCCCCCGGCTCCCTCCCAGCCCCTGGTTTGCTCCGGGAGCGTGTCCTGGCACTGCCAGGAGCCATCCGGCCCTGGGGCTGCCCCTTCCCGAGGCGGGTTTGGGAAGGGCAGCCCGTGGAGCTGCTGCAGTGAGGGCTCCAGCCCCTCTCCATCCCTTCTCCAGCCCCTCTCCATCCCTTTTCCATCCCTTCTCCAGCCCCTCTCCATCCCTTCTCCATCCCTTCTCCATCCCTTCTCCATCCCTTCTCTATCCCTTCTCCAGCCCCTCTCCAACCCCTCTCCATCCCTTCTCCAGCCCTTCTCCTGCCCCTCTCCATCCCTTTTCCATCCCTTCTCCATCCCTTCTCCTGCCTCTCTCATCCCCCGGGGCCGCAGCCCTGCTCCTGGCCGCCTTTCAGGGATTATTTTTAGTGCCAGTGATCGGCTTTTGCGGAGCTGTCGGGAAAACGGTGACTCAGGGGCGGCCCAGGCTGGGGGGGAGCAACCCCTGGGCTGGGGGGTCCCACCTGGGGGGCAGTGGCTCTTTGGGGGGGGTGTGACCGTCCCCTCTGCCACATGTAGGGCAGGCTCAGCCCCTCGTGCCAGGGATTGGGGTGGCTGGAGGCAGCCCTGGAATGCTGGGGGGGCTCAGGGGTGTGGTGGGCACACGGAGCTGCCCAAGGTAATCTTCCTCACCTGGGGCAGGTGAGGGTGGTGTGGCCCCCTCCCTGTGCCCTCAATAGCCTGGCACAGCTCCCTCCTCCCTGGCTGCTGCCAGAGGAACAGCCTGGAATGGGGCCAGGCTCTCCAGCCAGCACATCCTTATCCCCTGGGAAGGCAGCTCCTTCCCGTCTGTCCTTCCCCCTCCTCGACACCCCATGCCAGGGGGCTCCTGCTCCAACCTGGGGCCAAAGCATCCTGCTCCCATCTCTCTCTCCTCTCCCACCTTCCCAGCAGAACACAGAGGTCTCTGGAGCCCGGGATGAGGCCGTGGATTTGGGATCAGGCTCCTGAGGCCGTTTCCCACAAGCTGGGCTGGGGCGGATACATCCAGGCAGCCCCAAGCCCTGATCCTGTCTGCTCCACAGCATCCCCCTGCAAAAAACATCCATTCCCTCCTGCCAGGATCCCCGAGGGCTCCTGGGAATGTCACTGGAGAGATGGATTCAGGCCCTGCAGCCCCTCAGAACCAGCTGCTCCTTGCGAGATGTCTCCCGAATGGAGGCAGCAAGGGCAGAGCAGAGGGGGAATTTCCCTGCTCGGGGTCACCTGTGCTGTGGAGAAATGGGGCTGGAAGAGCTGCTTGGGAATGCCAGAGGGATTTAAGCCGAGCTCTTGGCACCCCAAACCACACACACACACATGGTGGGGGTTTATTCCCCACTGTGAGCAAAGCCTCGGGATGAGGCAGCGGGTGCCAGGATGGGGCTGGTGAACATCCCATGGGATGGAGACACACAGACCCCGGGGAGCATCCCATGGGATGGGGACACACAGACCCTGGGGAGCATCCCATGGGATGGGGACACACAGACCCCAGGGAGCATCCCATGGGATGGGGACACACAGACCCCAGGGAGCATCCCATGGGATGGGAACATACAGACCCCCCTGAGCATCCCATGGGATGGGGACACACAGACCCCGGGGAGCATCCCATGGGATGGGGACACACAGACCCCAGGGAGCATCCCATGGGATGGAGACACAGAACCCAGGGAGCATCCCATGGGATGGGAACATACAGACCCCCCTGAGCATCCCATGGGGTGGGGACACACAGACCCCCCTGAGCATCCCATGGGATGGGAACATACAGACCCCGGGGAGCATCCCATGGAATGGGAACATACAGACCCCAGGGAGCATCCCATGGGATGGGAACATACAGACCCCCCTGAGCATCCCATGGGATGGGGACACAGACCCTGGGGAGCATCCCATGGGATGGGGACACACAGAACCCAGGGAGCATCCCATGGGATGGGGACACACAGACCCCGGGGAGCATCCCATGGGATGGGGACACACAGACCCCGGGGAGCATCCCATGGGATGGGGACACACAGACCCCAGGGAACATCCCAGGCTCAGCCACATCCTCAGCATTCCGTGGGATCCCCCCCCGGGTTGTGCCTGGCTCCAAACATCTGCCCGGCTCCAAACATCTGCCCAGCTGTGCCCTGGAGCTGCCCCTCGGGCTCACCCCCGTGCCACGGGAGGGTCCGGGGGGGCTGCCCCGCGCGGCCCGGGGGGAATTTGGGCACCTCCCCTGAAGGCTGCGGGGAGCGGGGCCCTACCACCATCTAGCGGCCCTTCAGCCAAGTGCGGGAGGAAGAGGAGGAGGAGGAGGGGGAGGATGCACCGGGCTCAGCCGAGGGCTCGCCCAGGCCCGGGGGGCTCTGGGGGTGCTCAGAGCTGGGGAAGGGGAGGGGGGTGTGGACCCGAGGGGCACTTCCCACCCCCTGCTCCGGCTCCACGAGGTCCGGAGCGGCCAAGCACGGAGAGGAAAACGCCTTTATTGCAGGGTGCCAGCTCCCCCAGGACCCCCAGGAGGGCACCCCCGGGCACCGTGGGGGTCTCTTCGTGCCAGGGGCGCTCATGGCAGGGCGGGCTGCTGGTGGGAACTGGTGTCACTGGTGTCTCAGCATGGCCAGGGAGAGAGGAGTGCCTGGATTTGGGGATGGGGAGAGAGACACGGGTGATGGTGGGGAATGGGACAGCGAGGCTGGCACTGCCACGGGCACAGAGGGACAGGGAGGTGGCAGCACTCCAGACCCCTCCCTCCCAGCCCTGCCCCGTGCCTCGGCTTCCCCAAGGGAACGGCTCCGTTGTGGGTTTTTGGGAGGGAAACTCTCCGTGTGCAGCGCTTGGTGTCGGGGTTGGTGGCACAGTGGCAGCTCTTGGCGGCCCTGGGGGCTGCCGTGGCTTCACCACGTCCCTCCCGTGGAATTTGGGGGACACTGGGCGGGGTGGCACCGTCCCTGAACTGCCACCGTGGCTCCTGGTCTCGCCTGTTCCCGGGGAAAACGGGAGACCAGGAGATGGAGCCAAAGGCAGCCAGTCCTCAGGGATGCCGGGACACCCCAGGGGATGGAGCTGCCTCCACATCACACACCTCCAGGCCCCATTCCCGGCCCCATTCCCGGCAGGAACACACCCCAGGTGCCCCCTCTCCTCTCACCTGGGGTGTCACTGTCCCTCCTCACCGCTCCTCCAGCTCGTAGGCGGCCTCCAGGTAATCCCTGGGCACGATCCCGACCTCGTCGTTGAGCTCTCCCACCCACCAGCCGTACATGTCGTATTCCTGATGGGACACGGGCATGGAACGTGGCTCAGGGCCCTTCCTTTGGATCTCCAGCCCCCCCAGACTCCAACAGAACCCCCCCCAGTCCCACCTCTCCCCCAGTAAATCCTTCCCTGCCCTTCCTGTCCCCCCTCCCTCGTCCTGCCCCCCTTCGCTCTGGGTTCTCTCAGAAATTCAACATTTAATTCACACCCCGACATTTTGGGGGTGTTTAATTTCAAATATCAACCCCCCCAGGGAGGCCCAGCCCTCAGCCTGGAGCTCCAGAAGCCCCTCCAGCTGGATCATGCCTGGATAATCC